GAGGTGACTATTGAGAGCAAATGATAGGAGATGATGATCTGAGAGAGGAAATGGAGTGTTGCAGATGTTAGAGACTGTAAATTCATGAGTGAAAATAAGGTCTAGTATTCCCTGCTACATGGGTGGGGGAATTATCCCACTGTGATAGCCCAAGGGAGGAGGTAATAGTAAGTAGTCTTGAAGCTGCTGGGGTCAAGGGTGGGTTAAAGGGAATGTTGAAGTCTCCGAGAATTACACATGGATTGTGGAAAGCCAGGCAGCAAAATGGTCAAGGAAGAGAAGTAGGGAACCAGGGGGACGATAGATAACAGCAATGATAGCAGAGATGGGTTTGAAAAGGCGGATTGAATGAATCTCAAATGATGAGAAAGAGAGGGAAGGGGATGTGGGTAGAGGTTTGAAAGAGCAGTTAGGTGAGAGCAGAAACCCTACACCACCACCTTTATTTTCAGAGTTTCTTGGGTTGTGGGAAAATTGAAGACCATAAAGAATAAAGAGGCAGGGGTAGCAGCATCAGAGGGAGAGAGCCATTTCACATAGTTTGTGTAGATTATAAAATTAATTGAACTGATGATGTTTTTTTGAATATGTCCACGTCATTTATGAAATCACTGAATCTTGTTTTCGTTCTCCTTCACTCTCCAATGAACACTGTAGTAATGTATATTTAAACGGTTTAAGCATCACTTATTGTGTGTCTTGAGAAAAGTCTTGTTGGACTGAAACATCGACACTGACACTATTGATTTATGAACTTTTGCTGAAATAAAAGCATCTTATCATCATTACGATTCCCGTGTATATATATACACAAATATAGAGAACAAGAGGCAAGCACTCACGGTCTTTTGGTTTCTTTAAAACGATTTTCCTTTTATTTCATTGCTTAAAACTTGATCGACGTTTCAGCCACAATACTTGGCTTTCATCAGGATAATATACAAAATATCGTGCCCTTGTGGCTTGGTCTACATAGGGAAAACTGAAACACAACTTTGCGATAGAATTAGGGGTCACAGATCCAATATAAGAACTGCCTATAGAGATGGATATACGGACAAACCTGTGGCGAAACACTTTTTAGAATATAAACATTCTTTGATCATGTTAAAATTTGTAGCAATCGATTGGATACCATGTTCCAGAAGAGGAGGAGATAGAGGCAATGCCCTATTGAGAAGAGAGACATTCTGGATACAGGAATTGGATACAGTGGCTCCAAGAGGACTGAATGAGATGATATCATATCATCCGTTTATATGAGTAGTGGTGAAGTAATTGACTGCCTCCTCTGAGTTATGAATATATATTTTTAATTAGAATTAGAGGAAGACTATATTTATCTATTAAGAATTAATATGTACTAATATTAAGATAAGACAATAGAGATAAAACATTATGTATCCAAATTAGGAATAGGACCTATAGCATAAAACAATATATAATAAATACTATTGTATTAAAGTAAAGATTTAAAAGCATGAGGAAAAGTACTATTCCACCTATCTAGATAAGTGGTAGCATCTAATATCCTAACTAAATAAAAAGATTTACTTTAATTAGGGGGAAAGTTAGTATGATTAGATGGTAAGGTAGGTTAAGTAATTGTATAGGTATAGATATACACTATATTTTATAATAATGAATTATGTAAATAATTTATGTAAATAACACTATAAAGCATTAAGTTAATCACCTCACTATTTTTTGTATATATGATAGTAACACAATCTTTAGCACTTCAATGCACATAAAATAGTAATGTATTACTTTAAATATACAGATTGGGAGACTCCATATTAACGCAAATGAAAGAAGCACTTTAGTCTATATAAATAGCACAAATATCACTTTAATTACACTATATTGCACTTTATTGTATAAAATCAATAATTGTTAGCACTTTATTGTACATAAACAGCACAATTAGCACTTTGAGTCTATTGAAATGTAATTTATTGTACACAATTTGTATCTGTCACCTTAAATGCATTTCATAGGATCTATATAGTTAGATGTGGAAAAGTTTTACCTCCATCAAATTATGCTTAGGAACCAGACACATAAATAGTTTCTATAAATAATACAGACAACAATGTGATTTAGGTCAAGTAATACTAAATGGAATAAAAAGAATCCTCTAATCATTATAATATATGTTCAATTTTAAACTTTATGTCTGACTTGCAAGGGAGTTAGATCCCCAGGGCTGAGCGATCAATAGAGAGCGAGTATATCACTTGCTGGGTTGCTATGGAGCCAGTTAAATATACCGGGTAACCATAGCAACGGTGACATCATCACGCTACTTCCGGGTAGCGGTAGATTGACGCATGCGCAGAGATGGCGATAGAATGCCGTGGAAGCGGTACAGCCTTCAGGTGGTGAGTGTTTTAATCATTAATTGTATAATTTGTTTTGCTATATAAACGTGGTATTTGTAATGCATATTTTGAGCTGTAAAGATCCTGATGAAAGCCAAGTATTGTGGCTGAAACGTCGATCAAGTTTTAAGCAATGAAATAAAAGGAAAATCATTTTAAAGAAACCAAAAGACCGTGAGTGCTTGCCTCTTGTTCTCTATATTTGTGTATATTATGGCATTGGCTTGACAGCACCAGGCAGATATCCACATTGAAGTGTGTGTGCAAGGAGACAATAGGACTTTATATATATGTATATATATATAACTTCATAAATAATAAATAATAAATAAAAAAAAATATATATATATATATATGTCAGAACTTACCTGTCAGCTTCTCTACGGCTCCGTTTCTGTCACTTCTGGGTAGGCGAAGTAAACCAAGCCTCCTTCTCTGACATGGCTTTCTCACCCTTTATAGAGAAACCGTGTCAGTTTTGAAATTGCTTGGTTATTGTTGAGGCTTCCTCCGTGATCCTCATATCGGCTACAAAATCCTTGCTTATAGGTATTATGTGTACCGAACCTCTGGACTGTTTACCGATGATCTTCTTTCTCATCTCCCATCTAACCCCAAGTATTGAGATTCTTCTTAATTAGAAATATTAATATTTGGACTGTGCTTTCTTTTGCTATTGCAACTGCTACACTGTTGATACTTATCTGCTACTTATACCGCTTACAGCAACTAACTATTATTACTGAAAACTCCTTGTTTATTACTTGGACTGTTCCTGCTTTTGCTTTTTCAACTGCTTCACTGTTGCAACTTATCTGCTACTTATACCGCATATATATATATATATATATATATATATATATATAATTTTATTCTAAATGTATTTTGATATTGTATATATTAGTAAAAAAGCATTGGTCACAAATTACACTTAGAATGACATTATATATATATATATATATATATATATATATATATATAATATATATTTTATATACATATATATGCATATAAATAAATATATATATATATATATATAAATATATATATATATACATGTATAAAATATACATATATATATATATATATATATATATATATATATATATATATATATATATATATATAATATATATTTTATATACATATATATGCATATAAATAAATATATATATATATATATATATAAATATATATATATATACATATATATACATGTATAAAATATACATATATATATATATATATATATATATATATATATATATATATATATATATATATATATATATAAATATAAACAAATAAATAAATATATATATATATATATATATATATATATATATATATCTGTGAAAACCCCTTCCACCTGAAGTAAGAGAATAGTTAATACATTGCTAAACACAAATACACACACAAGTCAAGCCATAAGACTTGCTTTTCCCACAGAAATCTCACTTTAACAGTGATCTCACTACTGCAAGGGATTCTGGGTAGGTGTATGCAAATGAGCTCAACAAAGAACCACATTTTTGCCTGATAATTTCACTTTATACATGGATTCCTTGGTGTGTGTATTTGTGTTTAGCAATGTATTACCTATCCACTTACTTCAGGTGGAAGGAGTTTTCATCCACATTTTTTCCCCACCACAACTCTGTTGGTATGTACTTTATAAGTAATGCCAAGCCTCCATTGCAAGCCAGTAACCAACCTCATGCTGATGAGTTCCATTAACAACAAAACAGCTATCCATGAGTTGTTCACTGTCTTTCTCTTCCTGAGTTGTGTTTCAAAGCTGTTGTATACAGCAGACACATACTCCAATGAATCCATGTATAAAGTGGAATTATGAGGCAGAAATGTGGTTCTTTGTTGAGCATACACTTTTGCATGACTGGTGTGTGTATTTGTGTTTAGCAATGTATTAACTATATATATAAATATATATAATTACATAAACGATTACATAAGCATACATGTGGAATTTAAATACATATATATATATATATATATATATATAAAAATTATATGTGTATATTTATGTAATCTTTTAATATAATTATGTGATTTAATTATTTAAAATGTGAGTTACGGGGAGGCGGGGCCTGACACTTAAGGTGGCCGTAAGTGTTTCTCTATGACTCTGTCTTGCCTTCATAGAAAATCCAGATTCAAAGGTGGTAGGCACAAACTGCGGCCACGGACACTTCGTCAGAGGTGTACGGGTGGGCTGTAAGCAGACTACCTGGACTCTCATATACCTCCACGTGAGGCTGTTGAAGGTACCCCTTGTTGGCATTGGTCAGAGAGACCCCAGTTACCCAATTAGGACAGACCAAAAGTTGTGGGGACCTGCGGGCTTGGGGGGTGATGGAGAGGGATGGAGGGGAACGGGTTTAGACACCTTTCCAGAATAAGGGAATGAATAAGTGAAGAGGGCGGGGGGGAGATACCCGGGACCTGTGGGCCCCACATAGCCAATAAAGATAGGCACCATGACCCTCAGACACTTAGACCTCACACATACAGGGGGGGAAATCACACCGGACCCCTGGGATAGGGAACTAGAAGCAACAATGGGTGGAAGCGCTAACAGGGCAAGGGTGATCTAAGATGCAGATCCACACAGAGATGTGCCCGGGACACCAGGTGGCGACACCAGCACGCACTCGTCTCCCCAAAACCCCTACAGCTCCGACCAGCACGCAATATTGGCTAAACATGACACCCTTGGACCCCCCACACAACTATACTAACGGCGGTCACGAAAACCAGGAGTGGGAGGGCGGCCCGGAAGCCAGGGAGCGGTTGACACGAGCGGGAGGGACTCTAGATGCAGGTGAGGCCCGTAGCAGAACCTCAGGGCGGGATCGGCCTGTTTCCAGCTGTTAAATTATATACTCTGTTCTGCTATGTTATGCTATACTGTTCAAGTTATTTGATTTTTGCTTAATTACCTGCACTGTACACAAAAGGTATGCAGTTCATAGCTGTGATGCTTTCTTGAGTAAATACCGCCTAGGCTCAGGTAACCTGAGCAACACAGTTGACCGGATACAAGCAGTAGCCTCAACTCCCACATGGGAATTCAACTACCTGGTCACTACGACCCCACACAACTGACTCGGCCTGTAAATTGGATCGGGCCCAGGGATCTTACCGACCATAGATGGATCGGACATACCCTGGAGCAAAAGACCGATCTTGGGTCATTGTTGTCTGACCACCCCTGACTTTACCAATCCACCCCTCCCCACACCAACTACCACCGACAGACTCGTCCCACCTGACACATACCATACCTCTCCACCCCTTCCCTCACCCCTCTCCTCTTGTCTACTATATCTAACTCTCCTCCTCTCTCTCCCATCCCACCTCCACCCTTCTCCCTTCCTCTCCACCCTGATCCCTCCCACCCCTCCTCACACACACACTGCCGCAATGTCACAGAAATTCCAACCTGCACCGCTCAGGCTCTGGTCCAATAACACAAGAGGCCTAAACGTCCCGGAGAAGCACACACAACTCCTGCGGACGCTGTGGTCCCAGAGGGTCTCCATGGCATTTCTGCAGGAGACCCACTTTAAAGATGGGTGCGTCCCCGCGCTACAAGGTAAAAGATTTCCCCAGGGCTTTTTCGCGAACCACCAGGAATCCAAAAGATCAGGAGTGGTAAACCTTTTTGCGGGGACGGTGCCTTTTCAATGCACCGCCACACAGGTGGTCCCACTGGGAAGATACCTCTCCATAAAAGGAACCATAGCGGAGCGCCCATATACCCTAGCCAATGTGTATTGCCCCAATCGGGGCCCACACACGTTCCTGGCTCGGGCGATGGCCGGCTTAGAAAAGTTCAGGGAAGGCTTACTGATATTAGTGGGTGACTTGAACACTCCCCTGGACTCCCGAGTAGACAGGGGTAACAGCACCATACCAGACCACTGCATACGCAGGACCAAACAAACACTCAATAGACTTGGCCTGACTGACTGCTGGCGGGCGGCGCACCCTGACAGCAGAGACTATACCTGCTACTCCGCCCCCACAATCAATACAGCAGGATAGATTACATCTTTATCGCACAGGAATTCCTCCCCCCGCAGACATAGGGATTCAAGGAGACTCTGACCACTCCCCCGTGTCCATCCAGATTAAATCACCCCTCTTCAAGCCAAAGGAACGCCATTGGCAACTAAACAAAACCATACTATCAGATGCAGAATGCTCGACACTGACTACGCAAGTACTCACCCAATACTTCAAAACCAACACCACCCCAGAAGTATCCCCATTGATAACATGGGAGACACATAAATGTGTTGTTAGGGGACACTACATAAATCTTTGCACGCAACGCAAACGGGAGAACACTAGACACATCCTGGACTTGACGAAACAGATAACCGAACTCGAAACCACGCATAAAAGGGAATTGACAGAAGAGGTATACCTTCATCTGATCAACACGAGGAGACAGCTTAGGGACATACTCTCTCAGAAGTTACTCAAAGTGGTTCGCAGGTCCAACCGCTATTTTTATGAGTACTCAAACAAATGCGGTAGACTGTTAGCCCGAACTCTGCAACAGAGATGGAGGCAAAACCACATTCACAAAATAAAAGCCCAAGGCCGAAAGGAAACAAGACTACCAGCAGAGATTATGCAGGCATTCAGGGTATATTATACTAGCCTATACAATCTGGCCGATACGCCCAGTGCACTCACCCCAACACAACATAGACGTGAGCTGACAGACTTCCTCACCAAACATGTAGCCCGGAAACTTACCCCCGACCAATCCATGGACATGGAACAACCCCTGTCCCTGAAGGAACTATCTGCGGCGCTTAAGCTAACCAAATCAAATAAAGCACCGGGTACAGATGGACTCCCCGCGAGCTACCACCGAACGTATAGGGACCTCTTGCTGCCACACCTGTTGACAGGCCTGAATTCGTTACTAGAAGGTGGACAACTCTCGGTGGACACACTCTGAGCCGTAGTAACAGTTCTGCCGAGGGGAAAGACCCAGCTTGCTGCACAAGTTACCGCCCCATTTCCCTCTTAAACACAGACCTAAAGTTATTCGCAAAGGACATGGCCCACCGCCTCACCAGAGTGCTGCCCTCGCTGGTCCATCCAGACCAGGTGGGCTTCATTCCGGGTAGGGAATCCCAGGATAACACCATACAGGCCCTCAACATCATCCACTCGGCTCAAAGGCAAGGAAGGGGTCAAGTCCTCCTCTCCACAGATGCTGAAAAGGCCTTCAAATCGAGTGGACTGGTCCTACCTAGCGGCTACTCTACAACAAATGGGACTCAGACCCACTATCCGAACCTGGATAGCTGCGCTCTACACGTCACCTACGGCACGAATACGAGTTAACGGCGCCCTCTCAGACCCATTTGCAATACGGACTGGCACACGACAGGGGTGTCCCCTATCCCCCCTGCGGTCAGGACAGATGGGGGAATCGCGGGGCGCACAATAGGGAACACGGAGCACCGGGTGGCGGCATATGCCGATGACCTGCTCTTCTTCCTGGAACGACCCCTGATCTCCATTCCGAACACACTAGGCCTATTCCGACAATTTGGGAGGCTCTCGAATCTAAAACTTAACAACGAAAAGTTGGAGGCCATAAACATCTTGGTCCCCGCTGATCTTGGGGCGCACTTACGTTTTCCAATTCAGATTCAGATGGTGTGGCACTAAATTGAAATATCTTGGCATTTGGCTGACCAAAGAACTTTCACACTTCTATCAGACAAACCTTGCCCCAATCCTCACCTCTACAGGCAGATATGAAAAAATGGACAGACCTCTACATCTCGTGGTTCGGACGTATTGACGCAATAAAAATGAATATTCTCCCACGCATCCTGTATCTTTTCCAGATGATCCCGATTGCCATCCCACTGGCTTTTTTTCACGCCATTTCCACCCCAATTAGACACTTTGTGTGGAAGAGAGGTGCGCCAAGAATTAGTAGACATCAACTGCAACTACCCAAGCTGCGGGGGGGAACGGGACTCCCCTCGATCATCGGCTACTACCGAGCAACCCATTTGCTGAGGGTCACTGACTGGCACTCTCACCCGATGGAGAAACTGTGGGTGCGAGCAGAAATAGCACAGGCCAAGGGTAAAATACCCTCAAAACTATGGAGGACGGGAATTACACCTAACGCCCTCAGCACTGGCAACCCTCTGATTGACGCAATCCTACAGGCTTGGTGTGCATTCTGTTACCTTCAACAGCTGACAACTCACAACAGCCCACTCAAACCCCTCACCAGTAACCCAGACATTGGAGGAGGACTGGCACCGGCGGACCTAAAAAATTTTGGACAGAAAGACTGGTCCTATATACGCCAATGGTGCAATGACGGCACCCTAAAAACCTTATCCAAACTAATCCCAGACAATGCCCCAATGAGGCTCGACCACCAGGTCAAATCCTTCTACAACTCTACAACGGCCAAACAACAATTTCACCAAGACCCCACATACGTTGAAACAATATGCATCAGTAGGCGACATATGGAGAGAGTGATCTCGACGCTATACACATTGCTTCTGGAGGGAGAGAACAGGCCACCACTGAAATACATCACCAGATGGGAGAGAGAGATGGGGAAGGTACTCGATGCCCAAGAATGGGATAAGATATTCCTACACACGCTCAAAAGTTCTATCAGATCAAAATTTCAGGAAATGAGCTATAAGCTGCTAACGACCTGGTACAGAACCCCAGATGTACTACATTGAATGAACCCAGAAAATGATGAGACATGCTGGTGATGTGGAGCAGAGAGAGGCACTAAAGATGGTAAACACCAAAATACGGGAAATATCGAACCTGGAACTCCCGCTCCAGCCCCTTCCCATGCTACTACACCACACCAGCATGTCACTGAAAATCTATAAGAAATCCCTCACGAGACATTTACTGACAGCTGCTAAATCACTGAGACCCACTGTAGCAAACCTAGCCACTTGGACTGAACAGAGACAATATGTTTTAAGGGTTGCCTGTATATTTAATACCATTGTATATGTGCCTGGTTGTGATCTGCTGTATCCTGTATGCTGTATTGCCTGTATTAGCTATCTGCCAAAAGCAGATAGTCATTTTCTATTTTGTTTCACGAATAGCACCTTTGTGGGCCGTTCATGAACCAAATTAACTATCTTTTAATTCGGTAGTTTGGTCCACCTCTATCAATCGGTACTTTTAACCTGTGTTATAAATAATGTGTTTTTCGTGCGGCGTTCAGTTATTTTAGCTGGGATCTGAGCGGTATTCTCATGAACTGTGTGCTCAGACCCCAGATATCTACCGAACGTCCATTTGTGTAAATCGACCAAGTATTAAGGAAGTTATATATTTTAAAGTAAATTGCAGGTTCTGCTACACGGAGGGATAATCCACTTAACGGTATATTCCAGTGGGAGTATCCCTCTCGTGCAGCAGTGCCTGATGGGAGAAATGCCCAGAATGTGAAGTCCCCCATGTAGTCCCCTACTGTGTTACCCCTGCTAAGTCAGTATGGAAACCCCTTGCATGGGGACTTAAATACTGGAGCTGCAAATAAAGACCTCAGTTGACTCCTAGAACTGTGTTTCGTCCAGTTACTGGGGGATTTGGGATATTGCCTTGCTTTTCAGCGCTGACTGTGGATTACTGTATGTACCAGCGGAATTCGTGGGATTTAATATTGCCGGTCCGCTACACCCACCCTGTGGATAAGGTCGACCGCCCCCACATCCCAACAATGGGTGACAGAGTGGGAGAAATATATGCCATGGAGTCTATGACAGCAGCCCTCCAGGGCTGCTCAGAGAAATGTCACCTAACCTGGACCCCCTGGATTCTGTACATTGAGGCAGAAGGCTCAGCCTCATGAAAAACTACACCCAGACCAGGAACAGAACCCCCCTCTCTCCCAATCCTTTCCATGCTTCTTCCCAACTAGACTGTACACTTCCCTTCTACCTCTTATACCTCCCCCATCCTCCCAACCACTTCCTGACTAGACCACCCCTCACCATGTACTAGACCAGGACACTCAATCCAAGAATAAATGTAAGAGAGAGCTATACCAAGCATGGACCTGTAGTAGGTCAGTAGATAGAACCACTAAAAAATGAAGCAAAGAGACGGATACACACAGGATGCTCCAAAAGTCTAAAAGATGCACAACGCAAATGCGAAGATAACAGCACAATAGGCCCCACCACCTTAAGCACCAGGATCAGCCCAACAACACACAGGCAGTACTCCTACCTGGCATACATATTCAAGGGGCGTATTAACCACACAAGCCCTACCAAATGCAGAAAGGGACACACTTTACAAAGTATGTACACCTGGACACAGGTGGGGTGGGTCCGGTTGCTCCAACTACAACACCGAAAAACCCAGAATGGAGCTGTACGAGGAGGTGCCGCTACAGACGGACCCACCCACATACTCAGCCCGTTGACAACCTGACTCAGGTAGGGTTCCACACCCGCCTTGCTTACACCATGCCCTGGGGCTTCATGAAGACCCAAATAGATAGGGGTATGATACTATGCAAGCCATAAAAGACGTGCACCTATACCGACTGGTGTAAATTGCAATAGACACTATGCATACCCTCGTGATATGTAAACACAAAAATATGCAATGCTATGTGATTGTGAAAGTTTTCTACTGCTTTTGTATACCCCAAATGACTGTTTGACTTTCCTCCCTCTATTCCCTTCTGTAAACCCCTCCTTTACTCAACAAAAATTGAAAAAAGAAAAAAATGGATAAATAAAGATTGTCAAAAAAAAAAAAAGAAAATCCAGATTCATCAACCTGAAAACACCTCAAAGCCAATTTCAAACTACTGCATCCTGACACTAATACTACCTGCACCCATATGAGCCGGGAATATCTTGGTCTGACAAGGTGGTACCACATCCGGAACTGCTACCAACCATGCCCGGCGGTTGAGAGAGGCCACAGCTCTCTCATCCTGGGGTGCTCAATACGCTAACGCTCTCTTGAGTCCCATTTCTTCCCTTCCTCTGGACCGGTGGGGGTTATCCCGGTCCCCATTGGGGATGCCTATGCTTTGACCTACCCGAATACCTGTTGATCTGACAACAACATAGCATGCTTAATATGGCTGCCCCTCCGAAGCTCTTACCCGATCAAGCCAAGGCTGAAGCCCAGAAGTGGACCACCTGCTTTGAGTTAGTTATTTAAGTAGAATTTGGTGCTCTTGAGCTTTGCTTACAATCTCACACACTCCAATTACTTTCTGATGCCCAGTGGTATTATTATAAAACTATATGCTTTTTATTCTACTATATCTTATTCTAACCTGTTTTGACTGCATATATTAATTTAAATGCTCACCTTGTTTAGTGCTTCTCATAAGAGGTGCAGTGTGGCATTTACTAAATGCCTAGACAAGTTAGCATAGCCTACATCTTATCTTACACTTATATACCAAAAAAATTAGATGTCTTTCTTGCTCAGAATATCTTGACTTATACTGTGTATTAACCTTGTTTGCCAAGCTGATTTATTCTGACTCAATGTTATGTCCTTTGTGTATCTCATGACCATCTCAATAAAAGAAAGATTGACAACAACAAGAAATTTAAGGGACATGCCTGCCAACCTAGGCAAAAAGTCCAGAGAATTTAATTCTCAAGCACTATATTTAACCCTGTAACTTTCCAAGACTACATAAAACCTGTACATGGAGGATACTGTTTTACTCAGGAGATTTCACTGAACACAAATATTAGTGTTTCAAAATAGTAAATTGTATTACAACAACGATAGTCAGTGAAAGTGACCTTCTTTGCATTTTTCATGCACAAATGGCACTTTCATTGACAATATTGTTGTAATACATTTTACTGTTTTGAAACACTGTTATTTGTTTTCAGTGATGTCTCCCGAGTATAACAGTACCCCCAATGTACAGGTTTTATGGTGTTTTGG